CTTCTTGTGGTTTAATCCCTGTACTTTACAACCTATAATTTACTCCCTGTACTGTACTACCTGTACTTTACTTCCTGTGGTTTACTCCCTGTATTTTGCAACCTATACCAGTACTTTACTCCCTGTACTTCACTCCCCGTACTTCATTCCCTGTAACATACACAACCTGTACTTTACTTCCTGTACTTTACTCCCTGTACTGTACAACCAGTACTTCCTGTGGTTTACTCCCTGTACTTTGCAACCTATACCAGTACTTTACTCCCTGTACTTCACTCCCCGTACTTCATTCCCTGTAACATACACAACTTGTACTTTACTTCCTGTACTTTACTCCCTGTACTGTACAACCAGTACTTCCTGTGGTTTACTCCCTGGTTTACTTCATTTACGTTTACTTATTACTTATTGTACTTTATTTCCTAACGTAATGGGGTGGGGGGGTGGGGGGGGGCAGATAAACACGACTGTCATCATTTTTAGCTTCAGGTGGTTTTACTCTCCTTCTACCTTATGGTAGGTGTACGGATCCAACAGGGGCGTCTGCATGTGGACTGATGGCCGGGACGGGTCCAGAACCATGTAGTCCAGGTACTGCTGCATCATCTCTGGATCATCTGGATCTCCAGGACCCTGATGTCTCTTAGGACCAGGACCCATCAGCCTGTCTGACCTGAGATGTAAACAGTTTAATTATCTGTCAAACTCTGATGTGAATACATGAAAACACAAAGTTATTTACAGTTTGGGTGTCTTCTCCTGAAGTTTGGTCGGAACCCGACTCAGTTCTCGGCTGATGATGGTCTGGGTCACGTCATCCTTCCAAGTCAGACCTGAAGTTTCAGACGAGTTGCTTTAACTTGAACACTAACGAGTTGAAGTTAGAGCTTGTGTTCAGAGACTCACCCTTCACCATCAGGTCTTTCAGGACTTCCTGCAGCTTGTGCAGAACCGGGACGGAGACCTGGTACTGGACGGGCTCCTGATTTGGAGCCCGGCACTGTCCGAATAAACCATCTGCACAGAAAGAGATAAACACAGGGTATGCATCATTAAAACAACTGTTAATGCCTGAAGGAAACTTTAGCTGAAGTTAAACTTTATCAGCTGAGACTTCGTCAGAAGTAAAAACTGAAAACTGACCCAACCTTTGATTTCACAATAATAATTGGAGAAACTGAATGACTGCTGAAATTAAACCTGTCACGATAACAAATTTTGCTGGGCGATTAATTGTCTTAGAAATTATTGCGATAAACGATAATATTGACGGAATTTTGACAATAATTAGTAATTATTGTCAAAATTAAGAAGAAATGTTTTTTAATTTGTTTTGTGTGTAGTACCTTTTCTTGACCAAAGGATGGCAGTATAAGACTGTTTGAACCGAAGGATGGATAGTGAGGGAGCGAGCAGCGTGTCTCTTTAAGAAAAATGGGAGGGAGGCCCCTTGATGTGACATGGGCTGTCTCTCTTCGGTTCTCAAAATGGCGGACGCTCGGTGTGGTTTGAGCTCTTTAGCATAGCAATTTTCACACAAAGCTTTTAACAAAAAAAAAAACAAGTTCTCAGCTTCTTTTTGCAGAGAAAAACAACTTTTTACATGAAGGTACAGGTTTCAACCGTGAATTTTGCAGCTTCGACAAGTCGGCCTGTTAGCTTAGCTCGTAGCTTAGCTGCTTTTAACATCCAAAGACATGATTTTGGATGGTTAAAATGGATTTTAAAGAGGAAAGAGAAAGGGAGGGGTCAGTGAAGAGCACCGGAGTTGAGTCTTTTGTCATCCAGTGTCTTCAGTAGAAAGTGAGAGACACAAAGAAACGATAAAGCCGATAAATGAAAACGAGGTCGATAATTTTCATTTATCATGCGATTAATTGATTTATTGTGACTGGCCTGGCTGAAATGTACTGAAGAAACTGAAACAAAATGTGCAAACCGCTAGCTAAAAATAGCAAAATGCTGGATAAAACAACAGAAAAGGTCAGCTAAAAGCTAAAGTAGTACAAGGGAAGCTAAATGCTTCTGCAACACTGACCACCAAGCTACCACAAAGAGCTAGCTAGAAGCTAAAAGTTAAAAGCGAAAGACTAGCTAGCGTTCCGCTTCTGTTAGCTGTCCCAACAATGTTTTAGCTTTAGCTAATTTCAGCGCTCACATTGTGTTTGCACAGAAATTATGATTCTAGGGCAGCATGGAAGCAGAATCAAATGAATGGATGGGTTCATTCATTCATTCGTTCATAATTTGCAATGAGGACCTTCAAAATTTTCCCCGATATTGACCATGGGTTCAACAGGTCCTTTGAGTTGAATGTAAAATTCGACAGAACCTGACTCGGTCCACTGAAAGACCGAAATGCCACTCAGAGAGAGAGAGAGAGAGAAAAAAAAAAGCGGAGTATCGTAGAAATAATTCCTGGAAACGTCAGAGAAAGGTGAAAACCTCCTGTTGCTATGGTGACGGAAGGTTAATGAACATTTCCATACAGATCCGAAATTTAATTGATCATTTACTCCTCAGGCGCTCTTTAGTTTGTTTTATTCTCCAACACAGTGTGTTTTCTATTGACCCTTCAGGGCCACCGTACCTTTAAATCCAAGCCTTTTTTTTTGTGTAGAGTGTATCAGGATGGTTTGGTATGATCAGAATCAGACTGCATGAATAACACACACTCAGGGCTCGATGACTCATCGCCTCTCTCCTCTCATCAAACAAACGTATGAGGGAGACACACAGTCGTCAGGCGAGTGATGTCACTGCTGTCATGGAGACGATCAGCGCGGGCTGTGATTGGTTGAGGAGAAGGCCTTGTTTACGTTGGTCAGGACCTTCCTCTTTTTTTTCCCTGTCTTTCATCAACGCCTCGCTCCTTCCATCTTTCTGCCACGGCGAACATCCACATCATACGCCAACACACAACAAACACAAAGTACGGACAACCCACGCAAACAACAAACAACACACAACAAACAAACACAAGCAACACACATCTAACATAACACACGCAGCAAACAATAAATACCAAATACATAAACACCAAAAACACAACACACCAACGCTGACAACAAACACAAACGACACGCACAACAACAAACAACGTACAACAAACACAAACAAGAAACATTAAACATAACACAAAGAACAAACAAATCACACTCCCTGAACACATTCTCGCCCGCCACCGTCGTGCAGAAGGCAGGAGAAAAAAGCTTTTCATGTTGTGTGTGCTCTAGTGTCTGTTAGCAAAATATTAAAAAAATATTTTAACATGGGCGGATTTTAAAGACACTTTCAGAAAGTTATTCCTGGATGTAAATCGGCACAAATACTTTAACTGTTTTCATAGGTAAACAAACACATTTTGCTTCTTTTGTAGGTAATTGAAAGCACTTCAGCGGGGTTTTTTTTGTAAACGAAAGTACTTCAGCTGTTTTCCTAGGTAAACAAACACACTTTGGTTGTCGTGTAGATAAACAAAAGCACTTCAGCTGTTTCTGTTTGTAAACAAAAGCACCTTAGCTGTTCAGTTATTTTAGTTGGTAAACAAAAGGACTTCAGCTGTTTTTATTGGTAAACAAAAGCGCCACAGCTGTTTTTGTTGGTAAACAAAGCTCTTCAGTTATTTTTGTTGGTGAACAACAGCACTTCAACTGTTTTGTTGGTAAACGAAGGCACTTGATTTATTTTTGTTGGTAAACAAAGGCACTTCCATTGA